CTCTCCTGTGTCAGTCTCCCTCCCCGTGTCCTTCCTGCCCACCCCATGTGCCCCACCTCACCCCCGTGTACCCCTCTCCCATATTAGACTCCCCCCCTCCCCTTATGCCCCCACTCATGTGCCCCACCTCCTCCTGGCTGCCGCCGCCGTAGCCTGGCGCTGAGCTGCCTCTCCCCCGCCCCTCTCCCCCAGGACTGCTGCAGGTGGTGAAGCAGTGCGTGCGGGTCCCCGTGTTCGTGATGATCCGACCCCGCGGCGGAGATTTCCTCTACTCAGACCGGGAGGTGGAGGTGATGAAAGCCGACATCCGCCTGGCCAAGCTGCACGGGGCTGACGGGCTGGTGTTCGGGGCCCTCACTGAGGACGGGCGCATTGACACAGAGCTCTGCACAGCCTTGCTGGGTAAGAGTGTCTCCAGTCAGAAACGCTGTGCTGAGCTCTGTGTGGTATCTGTGCTGTCACTGGGGCTGGGAGTTCACGGCTGCCCTGTCTGATGCTGTAGGAGGAACTGCAGGGTGCTTTGGTCTGCAGGTCTTGTCTGTGGCCTTGCCATCTTTCTCCAGCTGCAACATGTGAAATAGGTAAGAAGCTTTGCAGATCAAGGGCTGCTGCCCCAAGCAGTTCACACAGTTTGAAGCCACCTGGGACATAATAGCAGGGTCTAAGAAGGAGAGAGGCATAGATGAGCTGCTTTGGGGGTACCAGGCTATTAAACTGTCAGAGTCAGGCTATTAAGCTGTCGGAGTCTCTCCTTCCTCCATTTCCTTTGCGCTTTGTTCTTTTCCTTACGTCCCTGCTCCAGGTGTCTAGGATATGTCTCTCCAGGACTTTGGCTTTGTGGGTAGCTGGCAACTCATCTTTGTATAACACATCCAATGAGAAAAGATAATGAACGAGGTGGAAACACATAAAAGGCTACTGAAGCTGCATAAGAAATTGTTAGTCCAGACCCCTAGCATGTAGAGAGGAAGAGAATTTGCTTCCACATCTTTTTCTGTGAGCTCCAGCCAGAGCTAAAGAACCTTTCCCTTGTGATGTGGTGCTGAGGTTCTTGTGTGAAGGTGAATGTCCTGTAGGGAGTGCAGCTAAAGAGAGCTCTTGCCAGGATTTGTCTCTGCTAGAGCAATAGGGTGCTCTGCTGGAACCAGTTTTTCCAGGGCAGGAGGCAGCTGGATTTCTCTTTGTAGAAATAAACGAGCTTTGCCCAGTAAATAGAGCATCACTGATAGAGTTTGCTGTGATCTGAGAGCAGAAATTGTAAGTAGCAAAATAAATCACAAGAATCAACTCTCCTGCTTTCACAGGGCACTGGTCCTGTCCCTTCCCCAGGTAGATGCTCCCTTCCTGCAGAGAAAGACATCTCTGGTGGGAGTGAGGGTTCTCCATGATCCACATGAGATGGAGGATTTTGGTGTTAATCATGAAAACAAAGGTTTGGTGGTTCCTCAAAGGGCAGAAGAACTCTTGCCCACCAAAGAACCTGGGCAAAGAGAAGCAGTAGCAGCAGCTGCATTGTTCCCAGCAAGTACTGGGACTCTTCTGAGCTCCTCAGGAGTGGCTTGAGAAACCTTTGCCTTCTTCCATCTCATGTGCTTTTCTGGTTCTAGCATAAGGAGCTCTCTGTGCCAGCCCTGACTGACCATATGTCTTCTTATTGCAGCGGTGTGCCGTCCCCTGCCAGTCACATTTCACAGAGGTGAGTGACAGCGGCCCTGGCAGGGACTGGCCTCTGCCCCACTGCTGCCCTGCTGCCAGGGGCAGGTGGGCCTGGGAGGTAGCTGAGCTTAATGCACGTTGGTGATTCTTTGGAGGGGGGAAGGCTCTGCATGCTGTGCAAGAGCAGGCGGTGGCTCTGCTGTTCCCCCGGGAGGGGAGAGGTCCAGGCCTGGGGGCTGTGTGACTGCCCTGTGTGGAGAGGAGGTGTCTGAGGCGCTGAGCGCGGTGGCCCTGCCACTGCTGCGTGGGGGACGTTGTAGTCAGGAGCTGTGGCTCCCTGCGGCGGTGGCTGGCTGTGAGAAGGATCCTTCCTATTATTGTCTCCTGAGCTGTCTGGGGGACAGGGCTTGAGCATGATGCGCCGAGTGATTTCTGAGCTGTTGCATCGATCTCTCAGCCTTTGACATGGTGCACGACCCTCTGGTGGCACTGGAGACCCTGATTTCTCTGGGATTTGAGCGGGTGTTGACGAGTGGCTGTGACAGCTCAGCGCTGGAAGGATTGTCCCTCATCAAGAGGCTTGCGGAGCAGGTGAGTGTTCCCTGGGTTACCGTGGCTGCTTCCTGGGCCTTGCCTGGAGGCAGCTCTTTCATGGGAGCCCTCGTTTCTGCAAGGGAATGTCTTTCCAGGAGAGCTTGCCCTGCTTGTCTGGCTTGACCTTCATCTGTTTGCCCAAGCCCATGTGGCTGGACCCCGAAGTCTCCCACAGCACGGACTGGTTGGGTTGTTCTCACTCGCAGCCCAGGAGGAGGGCAGTAAGAGCTGCTTTCAGCAGCTGATGTCATTCGCCCATGTAAACAGCAAAGTGAGGTCCCTGCTGGGGTCTCGCAGTTCCTGCTAGGAAAAGGCAACGGATGCACCTGAGAGGTCGCCGGGTGGGACAGAGAGATAGGAGGAAATGGTGACAAGTCAGCTGTAACTGCAAGTCTTTTCCACTTTTCCTTGTAAAACATGAGTAGTACAGAAAAGATTGGTGAGAGTACATGAGTCATAAGCCGTGGTGACATCCATGAGCTTGCTGATAGTACTGCATGTAAAGGTTCTTTGCTGCCCCACAAATGCACGCGCGGATGTAGTGCTGAGCAATGTCACTAACACAGTGTTCTTCTTTCAGGCGAAGGGCAGAATTGTGGTGGTGCCAGGTAATGTTTTTTTGTCAGTCGTAAGTGGTCCTGCAGTCCCTAGGTCCTGCTTCCTAGCCTCTCGCCCTAGGGTGCGCTGCCTGATCTGGCTTTCTGAGCCAGATCCCCAGGAAGAGGAGCTCCGGCCCTGGTGCGAGTAGAGGCCATGCAGCCAGCTGGGGATGGCAGAGCCCTGCAGCTGCAGCTCGCTGGAGGATTTGGGGACAGCTCCAGATCTGTGGGAGAGCATGAACCAAGGCTTCTCCGTCTCTTTTCATGTGCCCCGGTCTCCGTTGTCCCAAGGGCTGTCTTTTCCCCTCTGTGTAGCTGGCCCTTATCCCTTAGGGGGTAGGTCCCGGGGTGGTTTCAGCTCTGGGACGGTGCTGTCTGTGCCGTGTGTGACAATGTGACACCGGGATTCTTCCCACCAGGGGGTGGCATCACAGAGCGCAACCTGCAGAGGATTCTGGAAGGCTCCACTGCTTCTGAGTTTCACTGCTCTGCTCGCTCAGCTCGGGACTCAGGGATGAAGTTCAGGTAACTGGTTATTTGTTTATTTATTAGGAAAACTGCCTTGTACGGGGAAAAGCTGGATTAATGTGAACATGAGTTTGTAGAACAGGCATCAATTTCAAGCAGCTTTCTGGGTGCTAACTGTGCTCTTGTGGCTGGGATCGTGATGCCTGGCTCTGTGTTCTGCAGCGTACGAACCCAGCGGTGCTCAGCATCTGGACACGAGCTCCGTGCGTAACTGGATCCTTGGGGCATTGCTGCTGCTGCCCTGGGGCTTGCGAGTGCACTTGCGTGGCGCTTCGGAAGGCAGGTTCTGGTGTAGGTGCCTTCAACACTAAAGGAGTGTGTAGGGTCTGGGAGGGCAGAGGGCTGTGCCGCTGAGGAGTGAGGGATGGCTTATGTTTGTCCACAGGTCTGCACTGGGTTTCTGTTGATGCTGTTGTTTCTTGCCTTTGGATTATTCTTCTGTCTGTTACTGTCTCATCTTTGGTCTGGGTGGTACCAGCAGGTTCTCTGGCCACTGCTGAGACTGGGGGAGATAGGGGGCTTTCCGTAGTGTGTCTTACTCAACTGTATCACCTGCATCTAGTAAGCAGCCGTTTTCCTGACAGAAATCCGAACGTCGCCATGGGAGCGTCCTTCTCTGCCCCGGAATACTCCATAAAGGTGACCGATGTGGCCAAAGTGAGGACCCTGAACGCGATCGCAAAGAACATTCTGTAGCGGAAGGCACCATCCTGGAACAAGAGCACTGAGGCTCCAGGGTCTTCCCTGCCACGTGGACAGACGGGTACCGCTTCCGTTCTCGGGCTGCAGAGGATGTGAACTAGGTGACGAAGCCTGACGTCACTTCCCTTGGCTTCCCCTGAATGACCCGTCCCTGGCCTGGAAACATACGGTGGCCATTTTAAATAAAAGGACTCGTTCCCGGATGTTGCAACAACAAGCTGTTTGACAATATTTGGGAGCTGAGCAAATAGGGGGATTGAATTGCGTAGCACTGCATGTGATTGTCAAATAAACACTGCAGCTGCCCCCCCTTTGCTGTGCTTTTTAAAATGTGTTTTTATTTTATAGATAAGACTTTGATCTATATCTCATAGCTCAGTACAGAGTGCTTTGGTGTCAGTTTGACATATATACTGTGAACAGAGAAGTCCAGATGGGCTCATCTGTGTGACACGAGGCAGAAACACTCCCTAAGGACAAAGTAACAGCAAATAAGCATTGGGCTGAGTACATGACTCTAGTGTCAGGAGAGGTAGGTCTAAGAGCTGCCTGCTGGGTCTGAGAGGCAAGAGCCAGACTTGCGCTGAACTAGTCAGGCCTCTGCTACACCAGAGGAGAAAATAATCACATCCAGAGTGCCAGGGAGGGGAACGTCACAGCCGCCGCTGGGAAACAAGGCCTGCTGTGGTTGCCCAGTAGGATAGCTGGGAGTTAGCAATGCAGCAGCTGCTAGGTAGAGAGAAGCACACTGACACCGAGCACATGAGCTTTTAATGGGGAGGAGCTTCTGACTACCTGACTGATGAGGTGAGCTAGCTGTGAGGCGTCCTGGGCTGTGGTGCGTGAGTGCTTGAGGTGGGATGGGCATGTGGTGAGATACGGGGAGGACAGGGTGCTTTTTCTCAGGGACTTTCCAGGTCCTTTTCCTAGTGTGAGGCACAAACTATCTGCTTGTTGTCCAGACAGTGGTTGGGGCAATGTGTCTGTTGGGTCATTGCTGCCTAGTCAGAACTGAAGCCTTAGACTCATTTCGGTTACCCTGCAAAATACCCAGTGAAAGATCTGAACAGCGTCAGAGTGGTCCGTTAAGAGAGTAGAGACTCGGAGATAAAGCACCTTTATTTTTGCCACCTGCTCTTCTCTAAAAGATCCACAAAGCTGAAGAGAATCCCCCTGACAGCAGAGACAGCGGACCTGCTTAGGAAGCAAAAACCAGGGTTCAGGTCTGTCTGCCCGTCTTGGCAACAGCATACAGCCTGTAGGGATGTACGGGAAAATGTAATACTTGACACGGTGGCAGCACCTTTTGTCACCTGAAACAGAATCAGGTGATTGAAAACCTATAACCCAGACTACCTACGTATCTTCAGCCCGAAGGGTACATCCACCTTCTCACATGGATCCCTCAGAGGTATCCGTGTCTCCCAAAACACGCCTTAGGAATGTACATGGTAGTTCTCAACACAGGAGCTGGGAAGGGAAGTGCTGGTGTCAGAACCTGCTTCAGCACTCACAGATGTGCAGGCAGTAGGAAGGATCCAAACTCAGAAGAGGAAATTATTTAATGTGTGGCGAAGGTAAATATAGTTCAGGACACCTGATGTAAGAGTTCATGGCTTATGTGGTGAGATTTCATCAGTTGTGATGACTACGATACCGGTAACTCAATTAACATGAATATTTTGCTGACACAGCTCCCCCAGCATCATAAACACAGAGTTTGGACCTTTCCTTTTGTGTAAAGTTTAAAAAAATAAGGCGTTTGAACTCATGTGGAGTTACAGCATAACAAAGCAGAGAAACAAACCCTTCAGAAGCACAGGTGAGCAGTGGGGGCTGGATGAATTTGTAGATTGAAGCCTCTGTCCTCGACCAGACCCTGTGTGAGACGGGCGTGAAGCTATGCCCAATTTTGAAAACTTCGGTTGTAAGATGGTGGACAAGAGATGGGTAAAGGCAGGGGAGGAGAGGGAAATGGTGTGGTACTGTTGGCCAAAGAGATCTTACTGCTTTGATTAGCTTGGTCCCAGTGAACATTTTGTGGGTATTGTAGTGCAGGAAGCTTTATGGAAGGAGCTGAAGGACAGCGAGGTGGCTTTGTGGGTTTTTAGGAGGAGCACATCCCAGGTATGAGGGCAGAGAAAGTGGGGGTGTGCTTGTTCTGAATGTCGGAGGTGGCTGGCGTCCTATGCTGGGAAGGGCAGTTCAGCTCTGAATGAGGGACGGAAGAAAGATGGGGTGAGGATGGGCTGTGACATGTACGGAAAACCAAGACAAGCGATGGGACAGAGCATTTGGTGGGACGTTGTCACAAGCGAGTGTTCCACTTGGCGACAGCGCTCCAGGTGGGTGCCAGCAAGGCTGGAGGACACCTGAGCAGACAGAAGAATCACATCAGTGCTCTGGATGGAGAAGAGCTGAGGGAGTGACTGCTCCATTCACTCGTTTCTTATCCGTTGTGTGACATTGGTGCTCTCATCAGCAGTGATTGCTTCTGGCCTGGAGGACCTGGCATGAGGGGTAGCTTCATTTACGAAAACAAGTGGATTTAATCAGACAAGCCAATAATAATAATTAACCAATGAGTGGGACATTGACCCTTTCTCTAGTATTGGTGGTAAGGGGGTTGTTCCTGAGCGATTACTCATTGTGTCACCCTTGACTTCTGAGCTACATACTGACTCCATGAACAATGAGGCAGCAGAATCACTGCAGTCATCCTATCTTCCCCTTTTACCTACAGTCCCCCAAGAGCATGTATGATAGAGCAATTTCAGTTCCAGCCTTGGAGCAGCACCCTCCCTACCTGCCCCCACACCTCCACCTTTCTAAGCAGCAGGGTGATGATTCAGTGGCAGTCATCCTCCTTGGTAGTCGTCCTCTGGCTGTCTCAGATGTTGGGGGTTGCCTTAGAATGAGAATTCAAAGCCTCTTCTGGGGTTTTGTCGTCAGCCAGCTGCCGTAACATGCAGAAAACAAAGATGTGGGACAGGGAGAAGCAAAAGGAACAGCTGGGGAAGTCTCCAGGCTGCACAGGTCAGAAGCAGCTGGTAAAAGGAGCCTGGGTCCCCAGGACTCAGAAACTGAGCACTGCAGCATGCGGTCAGCTCAGCTGCCAGGTTCCCAGTCCTGGAGCACTGCTGGTGTCCTGGGCCTCCTTGCTGGACAAGGGTCCTGCTGTCTTCAGCTCCCGAGGGACCAGCCTTTGCTGGGCTTTTTGGCAGCGTTCAGGCTTGTTCTGGCAGGAAAGGTCTGTGGCGCCAAAGCAGGTGGTCTGCAGTGGGTCCATACGAGCTCATCTCCGCTGTTGTGCACTGGTGCAGGCCGTGGTTTCTGAGTGATGGCTGTGGTGTCCTGCAGGGACTGTGACAGTGGCTTCTCTGCATCTCCCTTTTATCGCTTTCTTGGGCCTTCCTCGCCCCCCTTCCCCAGAGCCCATGCAGTTTCCAAAGCCCTTTTGGCCACTGCTTTGGTCTGTGGTGTTGTGCAATAGCACCAAGTTAACAATTAACTGTGTGTCATCACGGATTTTGTCCCAATACTGCTTGAGGGTGTGTGGGGACTTTTGTCCCAAGCATCCACCTGGGACTCACAGCCAGGCAGAGCGAGGGGAAGGAGCCACCACCTCTTCTCCCCGGAGCCATGTCGGCAGCGCTGGAGGAGTTCTGCGGCTCCGTCTTTTGGGTGAGTGGCTGCATCACCTCCATCGCCCGTTCTCGGGGCAGGATGGTGGGTGGAAGGGGAGGGCAGTGAAACCCAAGGCTCACAGCGTGTTCAGCCACTGGGACCCAACTGCCAGCGGTCGGCTGAGGTTCTGGTATGTACCCGGGGCTGCCGTGGCACCGAGCGCTGTGCACTGCCTGGGTGGTATCCACAAGACAGCGACGCAAATGATGATTCTCTGAGTGAGCCCCGTCCTGTTTCGTCCCCGCAGCTCACCTGCAAACACAGGACACCCTGCATGGACCTCTCGGGGAATGGTTCGGGTCCAGCTGCCGCAGCTGGCTTGACCTGAGCGAGGGGTGGTTGTGGGGGAGGCCCTCCCATGTTCAGGCAGATGGATGGGTAGGGGGCTGTCACCTGGGACCTTGGATGACCGCTGAAATGCTCAGCCAGGAAGGTGGGTGTTGAGGAGGGGGGTGCGATAGGGTGGAGCAGGGTGGGCAGGAGCTATAGGAGTGCTGGCTCTGGTGCCGTAAGCTAGATGAGAGTCGAGCCATCCCAAGTGACCTGGCTGTCTGTCCTTGCTGCCCCCAGAACGACTCCTTCCTCGCCCGTCCGGATGCCGACCTGCCCGTGTGCTTCCAGCAGACTGTGCTGGTCTGGGTCCCCCTTGGCTTCTTCTGGATTTTGGCTCCATGGCAGCTCCTGCCCATGTGCAAATCCAGAGCCAAGAAATCATCTGTGACCAAACTCTACATCATCAAACAGGTACAGTGGGGCTCAGGGGGCACAGAGGGCAGGCTGGAGCAGCTTTGGGTGGAGAGGTGGTGAGTGGAAAGCCTCTGGGCTGGAGTCAGGTGTGGCGTGGAGAGGTGAGAAGTGCAGGAGAGAAAGAGCAATGGGCCAGGGCAGTCTGCGACAGAAATGTAAAGGCGAGCCCTGGATGAGGCGTATCTGGGAAAGAGGGGATAACAGGGCTGGGATGCACTGGGAGGGAGGGCTGAGGTGTGTACTGGGGCCTCTTGTCTTGTGGGCTGTTATCCTCCAAGCGTAAAATGATGGCAGTGCTCCTATGGAAGTGCTGCAGCTTCACAGGACCCTAAAAAGCTCTCCCAGGCCAGGTTTCAGTGGAAAAAGGTGTAATGGTGCCTGGGGCACAGTGCTTTTACGCCCGACTGCGTTGTCTCCCGGTGGTTCCCAGTGCCCACGATGGGCTGGGTCTCCCCTCACGGCTGGTCTGCTCTCCCCGCAGGTGCTGGCTGCCTTGCTGATGCTGACGGCAGTGGTGGAGTTGGTCCTGGCGTTTGTAGATGACACAGAGCAGGACCCCCTGCCAGCTGTCTACTACACAAACCCCAGCCTGTTCATCGCCACCTGGGTAAGGGATCAGCCGGTACATGTCCTGTGTGTCACCAGAGAGATGGGGTGTGAGACTGCAGTGCCCAGCAGCCGCAAACTTCCCATAGCACAGAGATGGGCTTGGAAGCCATGTCCATGAGAAGCGTAGCCTGGAGGACGGGTTGGGACTAGCCCTGAACGTGTGTGGGTGGTGCACAAGGGCGACAGGCTCCAGGCAGGTGTCTGGTTGTACTGTGCTTTGTCCTTGTATCCTTAAAACTGGGATGGGTACTACACCTGTGAGTGTAG